GTGGAGCCGTGGACTTTTCCGGCCGAATCAACCAAACCGCCTCCGCCAGAATCTGAGTTGAAGCTCTCATCCCCGGAAACCATGGTAGTCTCTTCACCCTTAGATGAATCAGTTTCCGCTTCTAGAAAGCTAGATTTCAACATCTCTTTGCCAAATCAGTTTGTGTCCACCTCAAGTGAATTGTGTGCCCCTTCCATTCCTTTACAAGGTGATCCGTATGAATCTTCTTCACATAAATTACCTGAAAATCTTGTGCCTTTATCTGATTTAATGCATGCTGTGTCATCTCCCTTCACCATTCGAAATATTAATCAATATGTGTCTCCCATGGCGTGTGCTACATTCTCTATTCCCATAACCATTCCAGTTTCGAAATCAGCAGAGGTCCCCATCCCTGTGCCCACCTCACATGATTCTGTTCCCATTATCTCTGTGCCCGTGGGCAAATCTTCCCGAAAAGGGAAAGAAAAAATTACTGTTTCAGGTACAGCCAAAATTGGCGCATTGGAGGGTGTTGTCTACTTGTCTGATTCCAAGCAATCAAAAAGAGGGTCCACATTGCCACCCAGAATGACAAGATCCAGATCAGTTTCAGGCCCAGTACCAAGTCCGGCCCCTGCACCTGCCCGCTCTGGCTCAAAGATGAAACAACCCAAGAAGAAATATCATCCTATTTTGTTGTCTCCAGATTTGATGTCTGACTGAAATGTTCATGCTACTAGGGATTTTATTCTAGAGAAATCCATCAATGTGGAGGAATTGACAGAAAAATGCAACATTGTGCCTATTTTGCGAGATCAATATCTGCTTGCCTCACTTGTCCATATTGGTCCGTATTCTAGATGGCTCACTGCCGAGTTCTACACAAATTTAACGTTGGATACATTTTCGGAGGGGTCACCGCGATTTCAACAAGTTTTTTTTCGGGATAAATGGTATCCTTTAAGTCCGGCAGCGATTAATTCCTATTTGGGTACTCTAAATCATCAAGCTGCTCCTGACCCGAGTCCTAATCTCCTAGCCGCTGCTTTAACTCACAACAAGATCGTCACTTGGCCAAACACCGGACTTGAAAGCTTAAAACTCACCACGGTCTACTCTGTTCTGTTACGGCTTGCTTCAACAAATTGGATGCCGGCTGTGCGTCATCATCTTGTGTCTGACCAGCTTGCTGCCCTTCTCTACAAGATCAGGAACAGGCTTCCACTCAATCTTGGAGAAATCATATTTGGCCATCTTGCTCAATTTGTGCGACACAGGGAACCTAAGGTACACCTACCATTTCCTAGCCTCTTTTTTGGACTTCTACAGGAACACGGGTTCAAGCCCTACACGGATGAGGAGGTGATTCCTAATGCCTCAGTCTATAAATATGATGATCGGTTGACAAATAAGGATCACTATGATGATAGAGCTACGCTTTTGATCACTCCCGGCGCCCCAACTGCCACACCCTCTGTGTCTGCCCCTGCATCATCAGCTGACACTGCCTCTGCACCGAATCCCCGTCCTACGACTGCTATCAAGGAACCTCCGACGCTCATGAATCGCCGTCAAATTGTTCTCACTCTTCAAGCGTCAATTGCACAAGTCCGAACCTCGGTTGCTTCTCAACAAATAACCATTGATGGCTTAGAACAATTGTTGAGTGCTCAGTTGGAAGAAATCGCCAGAATGGAGGCTATCTATGCTCGGATTCGATCTAACCCTGGCGCTGGCACTGGTTCTATTTCTGAGAGTGATGAATCTGAGTCGGGCACCCCGTCTGCAAGTTAATCCAATCCACTAAAATGATGTTCACCGGTTTGTTTGTCATTTATTTGGCATAAACAAAGGGGGAGTATTGGAGAAAAGGGGAGTATTTTGGAATGTTTGGATATTTGGTAAGTTTTTGGTTTTTGGAATATGTTGGTATGGATGTTAATCCCTGGTTCGGATGGTATATTAATAATTTGGTACTATATAAATTATTTTTGGGATGTCTATGAATGAATTAAGTATGAAAATATGAATGTCTTGGTATATTTGGTATGTTGACTGCATGGTATGAATTGGGTTTATTTGGAATGCATATGAAGAAAGGAAAGCTCCAAGTTAGGGGGAGTAATCCAAATTTCAGTACGGAAAGCGTGACATATATGGTATGTTTGATACAACACTATTTCGTGCATGATTCACTTTTTATTAATTGGATGAAGTTTGTGAGTCAACATCAACCAAGGTCAAAATAAAATTCCACCCACAAATAAGCTTTGGTCTGGTCTTAAGAGAATTTAATTTCACATTTATATGTTCAGTACGTATACTATGGGATGTTAATAAAATATTCTCTCATTTTCCCAAAGTATAATGATACTATTGTTTTACCAAATAAATTGCCAAAGGGGTAGATTGTAAGTGTACAAAATAGTACACATTAGATTGGCTAATTTATTAGTTTATTTTATTAATATGTCATGTTAATTAGCATGAATTGTAATTAGTATTTTGGACCAAGCTAAAATGTGTGGTGGAGATTTATTGTTAATGAATTGGACAAAGAAGCAAGTCTGAAGATCTCAAATTAAAGAATGAGTGGTTGAGAAGAATTCAAGCCACATATGAAGCTACAATCATGGCTTGGTGGAATGGAATTCATGTACAGTATATAAGGAAGGGAAATCGAAAGAGGAAGTTGCCAATTCTGAAATTCTGATCTCATATGCAAGCTTCCTACTTTACTGGTTTAATATTGATTATATTAATTGTGATTTAAATCTGTACTACAAGTTAGTACCTGTGACAGCTGAAGTGCTACACCAAAGATGTTTATGGCATGCACGGTTCAGTCCTGAGTAGGTGTTTTAGAAGAGTTGTAGTGGTAAAGGCTGTGAGCCGTTTGTAGTTACCTCTTGTAATATTCTGTGGTGAACATCTAGTGGATTGGGCAGACGTGGGTTGCCCCGCAGACGTAGGAGAAGGAACTCCGAACTGCGTAACAATTCTACTGTGTCTTTACTTTATTTACGCTTTCAATTTCGTTATTTATATGTTGATTGAATTGATTTAATTAAACAGCGAAATTGTCTAGTAATATAAAATCAAGTAGAATCCTTAGTGTTAAATTGATTTCAAGATACACGGGCTTTTTCAGCATGTTATATGAGCTACAGCTACTTGTATATAATGGAAGCTAGAATATTAAAAGTATAACATATATGACACTAATTCTTACTACAGAAGTGACCCCCACCCCCCCTCTCTCCAGGTTGACTTTCGACATTTCGTGGTCATTGTGTATTTGAGTGGTATATGAGTTTAGATATATGATGAAAGTTTAGAATATTAAAAGTATGATAAATATGACACCAATTCTAATTACTATAGAACTGCACTAACTACTAGAAACATCCCTCCCCCTCCCCCACCATTTGGACCATTTCCCCTGCTCTCCTTTGACTTTTGAGTTTATCTGAGTTTAGACATGGTGACAGTTTTAGAATATTAACATATAATAAATATGACATCAATTGTTACCCATAGAAGTTCCATCCCAACCAACTAGCTAGCCCCTCGACTTTAAACTTTTTTGGTTGTTGGGTGTTAGAATATTCAGGATATAATAAAATAATAAATACTAACATATATCTTCTTAGGATTTGGTCTAAGACTTGAATATCTAAACTTTTTAGACATCAATTCTTTGACAAAATGTGCAATCCACCATAGGCAAGTAGGAACGAACACACAGAAATAGAGGTGGCCAAAGTCTGAATCGATCTTAGGCCTAGATTAGTACAAATTGGGACCGGACCTGAATTAGTTGTACCGGTCTCGACAAATTATTATGTGGATCATGGTTCACATAGTGTTGTATGCACCATAAAAGAAAGTACTATTTTAATATATTAAAAATACATTATTTGTGTACTGAATATACATTATATAAAATAATGTACTTTTAGTATTCAAATAATACATTTTTCCTGAATACAAAATACATTTTTAATATACTAAAAATACATTATTTTGTACTAAATTTACATTATTTTTAAAACATACAAAATATGGTCCACACATCTTGTGTGGACCATGATTAGTCGGTCTCCTGCAGGGCGTACCTCGGATCCGCAAATTATGCCCTGGAAACGTACCGATCCAAACAGTGTCGTTTTTACGAAAAAAAAAAAAATTTAGTTAATGTGCTGTTAACGGCGTGCGTTTGTTCAGATTATGAATTTTCTGTTATGAGATTATGAATGTACTGTAAATTCATAATCTCATAACAGAAAATTCATAATCACATAAAAGAAAAACATTTATTAAATTATGAATTTTCTGTTATGAGATTATGAATTTAGAGTTATGTAATTATGAATTTTCTGTAAATTCATAATCTCATAACAGAAAATTCATAATTTCATAACAGATAATTCATAATTTCATAAAAGAAAATTCATAATTTCATAAGTGCACATTCATAAATCCATGCTTGTACATTCATAATTTATGAATGTTGAAAAAACTTGCGCGAAGAGGAAGTAAAATCGCGAAATGTGAAAATGAAGAAGAAAAGTCGCGCGATTTATTAAGAAAAAAAAAAAAGAGATAACGGTGCACCGTTACCGTTGGGACCGTGTTCACCATGGATGGTGAATACGCTTCCATGGAATAACGATTGCCTCGGATCAGCCTTGTGCCTGGGCTGGGGACTTTTGGGGGTCAATCCAGGGGCTAGGGCCTAGGATTTTTATTTATTTATTTATTTATTTTTTTAATATATAAAATAGTTATAAATTTTTTTAATTGATATAATTTTTCATACAATAATTATTAATTAATATTTTATTTAAAATAAGATTTCAACTATTCATTTTAAAATTAAAACTTAATAATATTTTCTACTAACTTAAAAATTTATAAAAGACTTGCAATATATTATTTGAACTTGTAATATTAAAAATTTGATAAAATCAGAAAGTGGTGGGACCATAAGATTCTCCAAGATTCTGATGAGCGAAATGCTTTCTGCGGCTGAAACACCGGAAGCCAGTGATAGGCCGCCGGACGTTCACGACCCCCAAAGGGCAAGACGTGATGAGCTCATGGAGCAGCTTCTGGGTAAAGACTCCTTGCCTAATGTTGTGCCGGAAATGCCCCAACCCACTTCAACAGCGGCTCCGGCCACCGTCAATTACAAGGCTAGCTTGAATAACAACCCGCACTTCAAGAATTTGGACCTGCCTGAGGAAATCGCATCAGAAGATGAGGAGTCGGATGAACTTGCAAATTCAGACTGCCCTAGAATCAAGATTACCAAAGAGGATAAAGAAAGGATTAGGCGGCCATTGCGTCGGACGCTTATCATCAAGCTGCTTGGAAGGACGGTGGGCTACGGCTACCTATCCCGTCGACTCCGAACCCTATGGAAACCAGAGGCGCATATGGAACTCATTGATCTTGACCAAGACTACTACCTAGCAAGGTTTGAATCTCAGAATGATTATGATGCGGTAAGGTTTGTGGGTCCTTGGATGATACTGGACCATTATCTTCTTGTTCAGGAATGGAGACCCAAGTTCAACCCGCTCACCGACTCTGTAGAGAAGATCCTGGTATGGGTAAGACTGCCCACGATCTCGATCGAATACTTCGATGAAGTAATTTTGATGCGAATTGGAAACAATATTGGCCGTGCCATCAAAGTTGACATTACCACAGGCTTGGCAACCAGGGGAAAATTTGCTAGGATTTATGTGGAGATCGACTTATCCAAGCCACTCCTGGCCAAATTTGAGGCGGAGGAGGAATGCTATCCTGTGGAATATTAGGGCATCCATTTGATCTATTTTAAATGTGGGCTGTATGGTCACAGAGATGATCTCTGCGGGCAAGAAGGGTGCAAAACCAGTTTGGAGGACTCATCCACGATGGATCTTGACAAGGATAAAGACCAGCCTATGGGACCTCTGCAAGTACCTATCCAGATGAAGAAACCAGCCGCCACTAGAGCTCACGTGCAAGAGAAATTTTGATCCTGGATGATCGTGAAGCGCAGGGATCGAAGGCTACCAAAGAAGGACGACCAGAAGTCTGCTCGGAAGGACACTCAGAATATTCCCCTGGGTGACAATAATCATTCACTCTTCAACAACCCCCAGCTTAACTCTCGGTTTAGTCCCCTGAGGGATCTTGAGGACGAAAGTTTGGCTGACGATCAAGCTGCGGTTTTCAAGTTTGGCGAGAGGCTGCAGGGCACCAACTCCTGGCTATAAATCACAAGAGAACGTCAGGCTCCCCATGTCACCTTTGAAGCGGCCCCGACAAGTCCAGACTCGCCACGTTAGGAACACAAGAGGTAGAGGGGGTAGATTGGCTACCCCCCGAAGAACGGCTGCGGAGGAGGATCACACGGTGGGAGAGGATCGGCCAGAGGGAGGGTGGTAACATCTACCACAGTGAATCACCGGCCCAAGGACCCTAGAATTCTCTCACCCACAGCTCTTAACTCACCTTTGCTGAATACCTCGGTGGATGAAAGGATGGACTTCTTTGATTGTGTCACTCCTAAAGAGGCCATGATCGAGGAGGGTGGCAATGATAGCCAACTTGGCATGAATTTGGATCACAACAGGCTCACTGGAGCCTCTCTTTCCCCTCTTGGTTTAGGATGAATGTTCTAGTGTGGAACTACTAGGGAGCGACATCACGTTCGTTTCGTCGCACCCTGAAACAGTACCTCCGTGAACACAAACCTGTCATTGCTTGCCTCCTAGAACCTAGGGTCTCCGGGAGTCATGCCAATGACATTTGTTTTGATTTAGGTTTTGATGAGTGGTGTAGAGTTGAGGCTGTTGGCTTCTCTGGGGGTATATGGGTGTTATGGAAAAATACCATTTCAGTTACAATTCTGCACACCCACCCTCAGTTCATATTGTTAGATATTTTGGATTCAAACTCTCATTTGTGGAAACTTTCAGTGGTTTACGGCAGCCCTAACCATTCCCTTAGAAACGAATTATTTTCTTGTCTCTCACAGGATGTGCTAAATTTGCAGGGCGCATGGCTTTCAGCAAGTGACTTCAACGCGATTACTTGCAAGGACGAAGTCTCAAATGGATCTAACCTTTCTAATTCTCGGTGCGCAAGCTTTAAGGACTGACTTTTTAAGGAAGGATTGATCGATCTTGGGTATTCTGGCCCAAAGTTCACTTGGTTTAGAGGCCTTTCTCCGTCATCTTTCAAAGCTGCCCGCCTGGACCGCGCTGTCTGCAATCTGGACTGGAGACTACTGTTTCCGGATGCAGAGGTTATTCACTTGCCCATAGCAAGCTCGGACCACGCCCCACTGCTTATCCGCACCAGATCCTTGAAACCTCGGACTCAAGCGAAAAAGTTTAGGTTCAACGCTGTGTGGGCATCCCATCCTAATTTTCTACAGTTTGTTGAGGAAAATTGGAGCAAGGAAGGTGAGCTGGGTCAGAACAAAGACAAGCTGGCCTCTAAACTTCAGGAGTGGAATAGGAATACCTTTGGAAACATTTTCCATAGGAAAAATCGAGTGTTGGCTCGATTGGAAGGAACCCAACGCAGCTTGACACTCAATTGGAGGTCGGGCCTCATTAAACTGCGAAAAGAATTGGAAGAGATTTTGCTTCAGGAAGATTTGTTGTGGTTCCAAAGATCTCGCGAAGAGTGGATCACATATGGGGATCGGAATACGAGGTTCTATCATGCTGCAACGGTAGCAAAGAACGCGGTTTCCAGAATTACTAAGCTCAGAAATGGGGAAGGGACTTGGTTGGAGAATGATGATTTGATCAGGGAACACATTTTTAACCACTTTGTTAGCCTTTTTACTGAGGATGGTAGTGCTTTGGCCACCTTTAGCAGAACTAGCTCTTTCCCTCCCCTATCCAATACAGATTGGGACATGGTGAATAGACCTTTCTCCCCTCTTGAAATCAAACAAGCCTTGTTTGAAATGGCCGCATTCAAGGCACCGGGACCAGATGGCTATCATGCAAACTTTTATCAGCAGGCTTGGTCGGTGGTTGGTGATATCTAACCAAATTTTCCCTCAATTTCTTTGAGACTGGCTCGCTGCCGGAAGGATGCAATGACACATTAATCTCCTTGATCCCAAAAATCCCGAGCTCGGAGACAGTTAAGGACCTACGGCCCATTGGACTATGCAACATCACCTATAAGCTTATCACAAAAGCAACGGTGTCTCGGCTGAAAGGCATTATGCAGAAGCTTGTTGGACCTTTCCAATCTAGTTTTATTCCGGGACGGCTGATTTCGGATAATGTGCTAGCCTATCAAGAAATTCTACACTCAATGAGAAATAAAAAAGGGGCTGGTGGCTGGATGGTCGTTAAGGTTGATTTGGAAAAGGCTTATGACCGGCTTCGCTGGAGATTTATCCGATCCACGTTAGAAGCAACGGGTTTCAATGATCGTTGGATTAGGAACATTATGGAATGTGTCACCACATCTCGGCTTGCCATCACTCTAAATGGTGACCAATCTCACTGGTTTAAACCTTCTAGGGGTATTTGCCAGGGAGACCCAATGTCTCATCTTCTCTTCGTTCTCTGCATTGAGCAGTTTAGCCACCTGGTAAGCCAAAAGGTGTCAACTGGAGAGTGGAAAGGAATACGCGCTTCCAGGAATAGTCCCTGTGCTTTACACATGATGTTCGCTGATGACTTAATTTTGTTTGGAGAAGCTTCAGAACAGCTTGCTAGAAATATCAAATCTTGCCTTGATCAATTTTGCAATGAGTCCGGCCAGAAGGTAAATTACCTGACGTCTTCTGTTCTCTTTTCAAAAAATACCAATCTTCTCACCCAACAGACAGTCTCCAATGCTTTGGCTATCCCACCTTCGGTTGATCTTGGCTAGTATCTTGGAGTCCCGTCATTAAACGACAGACAGAAAAAAGAAACCTTTGGAGGGCTTGTAAAGAGTGTTCAAAACAAGCTCTCAAGTTGGCGAAGAAACACGCTGTCCCTAGCAGGAAGGCGAACGCTAGCTCAGTCAGTATTATCGGCAATACCTCTATACACAATGCAAACCACCCTTCTCCCTACAGTTGTCATTCAAGCTATAGAGAAAGCCATCCGAAGTTTCTCATGGGGAGGAAATGGTAAAGACAGAAAGTGCAGTCTAGTAGCATGGGAAACAGTCACCAGAAGCAGAGATTAAGGGGGGTTGGGTATCCGGAACCTCTGAGATATGAACATAGCACTACTCACTAAGCTAGGGTGGAGGTTGCAATGCGGCGAGGATTGCCTATGGGCTAAAATTGTGTAATACTATTCCTATTCTAATCTATACTATATATAAAAACAAAATCCTGAACTTTAACTTCCCGCCCAATTCCTAAAAAATCTCTCTTCCTAATAAAATATATTGTTTTCTACTTTCTCATTCGTACTATATGTAACACCCCCTAAAAACATGCTATTTTAAAGCCTTAAACATGCAGATAACTAAACCAAACAACAAACACAGCGGAAGACTGAAAGATAGATGTATATAAATAAACTGGAATCCGAGGTGCTATGCCACGTTCACCAAAGATATGAACGCACAGGCAACATATGCAATGTTTAAATCTAAACCAAATATCTCATTGTTCTACATCTAAGCTGGCTCACAGGCCACAAAACGTAAGGGAGAAGCTATACTAGCAAGCACTAGACTGCGCACTCGTCTAGACATCACCTGAAAGAACACAATAAGCATGGGACGACGCCCGGTCAGCAAATAATGCTGGTAACCCACCAATACATGTGAAATAACATACATAGGTAAGATATACATTTGTAAAGCCATTTTCGAAATGGAATACATATATATAAGTCGAAAACCAAGAGTAATCGTCAACACAAGACTTAACACTCTCAACAAGAACACGGGAACACATCCCAAGACCACAAGGACAACAACAACTTCAAAGGATAAAGACAAGACCAACGGCAACACATGCCTTTGTGACTACACACGTCACAAGAAGAGAACTCACAACAACGGCTACACAAGCCCTCGTGACATCACCCATCACGAGTTGATATGCCTTCCTTATGCCCGGTTCCAACCTTATGGCTACCCCCAACCTTATATCTAGTTCCAACCTTTACCTCCAGGACCCCTGTACACCAAGTCCAACCTTTTCCCTCCGAGGACCGTCGTCCCCTCTCCAACAGAACCACCGATTTCATAGTACACGAGGGTACCGATTTCACACACGGCAACACATGCCACCCAAGAAATACGTGAACCTTACACAAAGGTCACAAACTCCATAATCACGTCATGGCCACCACGAGGACCACTGCAATACCTTGGTGACTAGTGTCCCATACCACTAATCGTGCAATCCAGGTAAAGCCACACACACATCACACCTCAACAGGAATCAATCAATGGATCACAACGAAGATATGAAACCATACTCAATCAAGGAATGGATCACAGTCCACAACAACAACGATGAATAACACAAGTTATCATCAACCAAGGAAGGTACAAACAACACACACGCTAGCATTTAAACACCGAACTAGCATGCTTATCAAACGGGTAAACCAAACGTAGTTCCGAAGAACACACAAGACTCATCACGGTTCAACGAAACACAATGTTGAACACTTAGCACGATTCAAGACACTAAAACCTACATGGATTCCTACCATATAGTTCTAGACATACGAAACATCAAGAAGACACTCAAATAGATCCACAAAAGAACAACGGGAAGTCAAAAGACCAAATACCGAGTCAAAAGAATCACGGGGAACAAATCCCCCAACATCCACAA